GCATTTGAGGGGAGGGCAGAGATGGTTCCTTGCTGCTTTCAGTTATTCTGGGGTATTAAAAAAACAAACAAACATATGGGGTGTTTCATGTGGCAGTAGCTCACACTTTCCCGTGGTTGGTTTCTATGTGGTAGTTGCTTCTAGTAGTGCTAGGTTCCTGGACTGATTAATGTTTAACACTTTCATTTCTCAAGAATACCATTTAGATAGTTTCAATTTAATGCAAATATCTTAGTGCTGGGAAATTTGGATGTGCTGTGCTCCTGAGCACACCTGAGGGGTGTATATGCTGGCTGACAAATGCACGCCCGGGAGGGTGGTTCCTTCTGCAACTGATGAAATCTTGGAGAGAATCAGCTCTTCCCCAGAACATTTGTCATTTAAACTTGGCAGCATCTATTTTATTTCTGAGTGTTAGCAGCTTGCCCACCAAGTCAGTGTCTAGAGATGTAATCTTATAATAAAAGTTGGAGCTGTTTTAAAATGATGGGCAATAACACTGGTTCTTACTGCTAATTGTGTTAGCCAATTGCAAAAAAATGTATTTTGGTCAAATTTTCTTGGAAGATTTCCCCTAAAATGCACAATATCCATCGTAAATCTCTGTAGTAGTAAATTTAGCTGTGGACATGCTAATGGAGTGCTTGTAAACTTGGTGTTATTAAACTTTTGTAATAGGGAGAGACAGGCTTGAGGGCTTTGTGGGTGTAGAAGATTAGCTGTTGGAGCAGTGGAATTTGGCATTGCAAAATCTTTGCAATATCAGGATCCTGGGACTTTCCAGATAAGTTTAGCCTATTACCCTGCGTTCCCTTCAGAATCAAACAACTGAGATGCAGATAGGAAGAACTTGGCTCTCAAAGTTGCTGCAGTTTCCTGTGGCTTCACCTAAGGGAGTTCAGCCTTGACATTTCTAAAAAAACATCAAACTCCGTCTGTCTTTCTGGCAGTCATGCAGGAAAGTCTCGCAGGCAGGGTTAGGTCCCTGGCTGACAGGCGGTCCAGGCTCTTTACCAGAAGGTCATCGCTCCTGGTGTATGAGAGGAGATGAGGTACCTCTGATGTGCAAAATAATGCATATGCTAATGAAGGGAGCCGTACTAAGAACGAAATCAAACTTGTCTGAGTAAGACAAGATCACTGTAGCAAATAGTGTAAATACAGCGAAATGACAACAGGGTTACGGGTACCTGACTAGGTCCGTGATACCACTTTGGTATTTCTCATGTTCCTCTCGTGCTAGAATACAAATGAAGAGACTGGCCTTAGTGTGGGATTCTGCCAACCGTAAGTTTGATCCCATAGGTTGTCTGGGTGCTTTGTTTGCCTTGAAACACTGCTCATGCATGGGGTTCTCACGTTCATCATCACAGCCTGCGTATTCCTTGTTTTTCACCAGATTATGTGGTCCTGTCACATAGTACAAGCAGGCAGGGATTTGTAGTGATCCAAGTGAAAAAAGGAAAAATCGAATATTTCTTTTCAGCCCTACTCAATAGCTACAATATCCAGCAACTTTTTTTTTTTCCCAAGTCCTTTCTTTCACCACTCCCCAAGGTTCTTGAAGATCATTGCTTCCTGATGTGTCGCTGCACACAGAATTTTCTTGCAATTAAGAGAAATTCCACCCTGGGAAAAAAAATATTTGGTTATGTATCAACCTCCGCCAAACCAGAGTATACCACACCTTGCAAGGATTTCTTAGACCTCTTTGGTTCTGCACACTGGAAAGTCTACAGGGAACAGCTGTCTTCAAGTCTTGAAGGCTTCACAAATCCCATCTGCGAATGAAGTACAGAGTAAATCCACAGCACTGATTCACTTTCTCAGCAAATCGTCAAATTAGCTGAATCTTCCCTCCACACATCCATTAAAGTTTTATACAGCTTGTACTGCAGGCTTGTGAAACAACACTCAAACTCTTATAACTCAGTCAAATTAAAATACTTTCGTTAGGGAATACAGAAAAGCTCTTCTGAATAAGACTTTAGTTTCTGGCCAAATTCAATTTTCTGCCCCAACCGTTTTGTCTTGAGAGCTAGTGAGTTGGGGGCGGGGGAGAGAAAAATTTCTTGTTTTGTTTCATTTCACTGTTTCATGCTAAACGGACTTTATAGCATTCTCCCAAATGGATATTTCCTTCAGGCAGGAAATGAGCCTATGCAAATTCATCCTGGAGAGAAAAGGTACGAGCAGCAGTTAAAAGAAGAGTAGTGACAGTTGAAATACTTCAGTGATCATCTCTTACTGTAGTAAATTCTCCTTGGGTTTTGCCAAAATTTTGCCGCTTTATAGTCATGAATGGTAATTTAAGCACAAACTTTACTCTTTTTACTGCTAGCACCTTGCTATTAATAAAGCTGTGTGGGAGGTTGCTCTGTTTCCTTTTCATCCATCCACAGAATTGTTAATTAAGTTAAAACTGCGGGGTGAAATTCTGACCTTGAGTACCCCTCTGAGTCTTCTGAGCACATGGCTTGTCCTGTGGTATCCTCTGCTAGATTATCGGGTGGAAGAATTTAAGTTGCCTTTCGTCTTAGAGCAGGGTTAACTGACAAATTTTGCAGTTCGTTAGAGGGGAGAGTGTTGTCAAGTAGGAAATGTTCTAAAAAAGTAGTGGTGAACGTGGAATTGTATTGACATGCTTGTGTCAGGGCGTGAGATTATTGCATCTTGTGGCAATTCAACATATGTTCTGTAAAAGCGACGTTTTCCTAAACATTGGATGCAAGCTCTATCGTTACTGTTGGACAGGTGGTGCGTTTTCATTTTTGATTTGGTTTAAGTTAGGCTTTTGCTCATTTTTGATCTTCAGGGGCTTGTAAGTCCATTTTCTTGGGATCCAGGGTTTGTTCCAGCTCTCTGAAAAGGAAGCTTTGAAAACTGCTCTGAGAGTAGTGGAAAATGACAGCATTTGAAAAGCGAGAGAGCAAGTTAATAGCTGTGGGATGAGAACACTTAAAGAATATTTTTCTGAGGAAAATTAGCTGGCCGTGCTGAGGGCTGATACCTGTTGAGGTAAATGGGGCAGCTGAAACAGCAGTCAGGCATTTCGGGCCATCTCCAGCTTCGGGTAGACAGCACAATATTAGGTTATCTTGATGGCTTAAATACTCATAAAGGAGATGCTTCTTGTCACGGAGTAAACACCTTTCCTGCAAAATCCCCAGGGATGGATTTCATTATGTCAATTTTCAGAACACAAATGGAAAGCTACTGTCACCTATTTTGCAGAGATGCAGAGCTAGAAAGGACTTCCAGGGTCACGGGGTCCAGTTCCCTGCTATTGCTGATGCCAAATCGTATAATCCCTATACCAAATTAATGAATGCTTGTGTTTGAAATGGCGCATGGGGGAATTACAGGCACACGTTCTATTAAACACTCAAACCTCCGTGTGACCCTGTCATCGCTGTATGAAACAGCTGCTTAATGGATTCCCTGTGACAGTGGGAAGGAACAATGCCTTCTCTTTTATAGCAAGCGTCTATCGCTCAGTGTTTTTCTTAGGCTGCTTGCTTTACATTCAGGCTGTATCTGCAAGGACACTTCCCAGAGAAGGCACGGGAGACCTGCAGCTTGGTGTTCGTGCTGTCTCCAAACCGTAAACGCCTTGACTACAAATGTCTCCGATTTGTGATTCCTTAAGATCTTCCAGTGGAAACTGAGTCCTTTGGAAACTTTACGTGTTGTAAGTCCTCACCTGTAAGAACTTCACCTCCTAGGCCGCTTCTTTGTGTACCTCTTTCTGTCTCTCGCCTTGTCAGGCAGTGCACCAAGCAAGCTGAAAGCCGAGGCCGCAAGTTCCATCCCTTCACTAAAGTAAAAATTGTCATTGAGGATGCCAAGTGCTGTCTAATGAATAACTTGGCCTTGACAGCTAAGAAATACCTTGGTATTGACTTCCAGCAAACTGTACTTTGCTGGAAGAAGTGTCTTGAGCATGAACTCTTTTCCTGTTGAACAACTCACCGATGCAAATCTTTATTTGAACAGCTGAGAGGCTGATGGACTAGCAGCCTGAGCATAGTTATTTGTCCAGATCCTAAGGCTCAGGATGGTTCTCATTACTCGTGGTTAAAGAATGTAGTTTTTAACCGGTGGGCTAGTCTTGTGTGCTGAACGCACCAACAGACGCAGAAAAGACTTATTGGATCAAGCTATTCCCTGAAAAGAAAGGATAATAGCCTTCAAGAGAGGGCATATCAGATACTTAAAAGCTTATTTACCTAAAATAACCACTGTACTATCAAACATCTGCACTGTACTTAGACAGATTGTTCTGTTTAGTGGAATCCCGGCCAAATAAAATATCCTCTACAGTTGACAATTACAGTTGAGACAGAGTTCAGGGATAAAGGTTGGGAGGCAAGAAAGGAGAACACTGGCTTGGCTACTGTACCAGGGCTGTATTTCGAGCCTTGGTAATACCTGATGACAGCCAGCGTGATATTTACATTGCTGCATATACCATAAAGACCGCTGACAGTGATTAAAAGGGAAGGATAAACCTTCTCCAGTAATATTGCTGTGTTTGGAAATGAGATGTTTGAGCCTGCTTTCCATCGTGTAGAATTAACGCTGCATAGCTGCAGTGCCCTTTAAATTAGCCAGAGATACTGGCACGAAATCAAATAAATATAATTGGTTTCAGACTGAAAATCTAATTTAGGCATGCTAATAGCATCTTAAGTAAATGTGGCAGGTCACGCAGGACTTGTGTAACTGGCCCTCGGAGCTTACTGTAGTTACTGCCATGGGGAAAATGGTCTCAAAGGCGTTCCCCAAATCACCTGGGCACCTTGTGCAACTGGAGGGAGCTCGTGTTTTCTGGTGAGGTTCTGATCTATTCACTGCAGACCGTCCCTGTATCAGTAGTGTTTCTGTCCTTTTCTTGAGGTGGGCTTCAGGTTGAATCATACTTGCTTAAAGGTACGATGGGAACGCATGCTAGTTTGGACTAATTTGGTATGTCCTAGGGGCTGCAGGTTAGGCATAGGGTCACAGCAGCACCCTCTGGCCGTATCTCTCCTCCATGCTTTGGTGTTTGCAGTGAGAAGGTTGGGGAGGATATCAGACGGGCTGATCCTTGTCCCTGTTAATTCTTCTCTCCATTGATACCATCTGTGACCAGTGGCTTTTTCTCTTTTCTTTTCTTGCATCTCTTGTTCCAGTGTAGGGTCCGACACCTGGGCAGCTGCAGCTCCTTGCTGTGTTCAGCACCGCTTGGCGGTAGGGAGGCAGCTGAAAGCCCTGCTCAGCTGCGTGCACCGCAAACCGGTGACTGTGGGTGAAGCACTTCAGTGGTGAAATCAAGCAGCAAAGTGACCCAGTGACAACTTCATCAGAGATCTTGCTGACATGCTTTGCATGGCCAACCCTGTTCCTCGCCCTCCATTCTAGTCCTGGCTTGTGTTATATTGACAGGCTGACCATTTTCTCTCCAAAACTGTCACTTCTGTGCTTAGTCTGTAAGGATTCCCAACCTGAATGTTTGCTGAAGGTGGGAAAACAGATGACGTTTGTCATGTGTTCAGGGCCTAAGAGATATTGAAAGAGTTTTGAGAACAATGCGGTGTGGGGTGGGGTGAAAATTTCCACAAGACTCCCCTTCCTTTCTGCAGAAACCTTGGCATGGAGTCGTGCCGTTTACAGCAGCGAGATCTCTCTACAGCATAGAAATCGGACTCATTTATAATGTGGAGTAAGATGGGGCCACGGGGAGATGCACCCAGCCGCGGCTATTGCCCATCAGTTGCTGATGGCTCCAAAAATGGTATCGGGCTTCTTCCAAGTGACTGGATATGGGTTTGTATTCCTCCTTTTCAGTTTGAGAACTGAATTAAAGACCTGGGCAATAAGTCTGCAGCGTCGAGCGTTTCTGTGTTGATGGACCACTGGAAGGGAAGCACGTCTAAACAAGTGCTGGCAGCACTGTATGATCTTTACTGACTTATCGTCGCTCTCCGCTCTACACGGAGCATTAGGAGTCCTGAGAAAGACATCGTCTTACATGGGCAGAAAGCTCTCAGCTCTGAACACAATGCGTGGTTTTCAGTGGTATTGTCAACAGCCAGAGCTCCCATCAAGATGGTGAATAACTCACTGTCAGCAAGTTTACGTACAGTTCAAATATTTTGGCTGTATTTCTAATTCGATAGCTGAGTTTCAGAAATCTTCTTGTTTTCTCAAATTCCTGGAACATGCTGGATTAATGCTGCAATATTAGTTGTCTGTTGGACACTGCAGGTTCTAACACGAAATGATTGGGCACAGATTCTCAGGCTTTGGGGAAAACATGTAATTGAGTCTTAACAACATAAATCCCTCGTGTGCGAGTACCGTTTGAACAAACGGCCTCGCAACTTGCACAGAATAGCAGACTACTTGAGCTCTGGCTCTACTGGAATCGATGACCAAAGGTCATTCCAAAGAGATACATCTGCCATTTAAATGAAACAAACATAGGATTTCACAAGTAAAAACTGTGCTTCTTCCCATTCCTCCTTCCAGTTCCTTCATTAAAAGGTCTAGACTGTAGTCATCAGATGTGCTGGTGCAAAATAGAAGTTATTTGTATTTAAGTCTTAATTCTGTGCCTGGACATCTTACCTCCCAATTATTACCCTTTCTCAGCGTGTTGTCCAGCACATGCCCTGGGTCTTGATGGCCGCGCAGTCACCTTCGGCTTGAACCCAGCCAAACGTTCGCAGCGCTCGGCTGGGCTCAAGGTGAGCCTGGGAGCACGATGAACGGGCTGCATTCAGTGATGGGAGTTGTGCCGTATTGGAGGGCGGGGAGACGTTTTGACATTGAGCACATGGAAATGCAAAGTTTTAGGATAATTGATTTAAAACAGGGTTGAGCTATTTTTTTTTTTTAAAGCCTTTTCCTCAGAAATATGAGGGTAGCTACTCCCTTGTAAATGTGAGAGTTCAGCTATTATGCCTGCCTGTAGGACTGCTGCACACGCATAGTGCAGGTGTCTTCATGTATAGTGTGTACTCATGCTGTGATATATAGTCAGTGGGGATTGCTGGTTTTCCTCCACCCCCCCATATAGGCTTTAAAATTGGCTTCCTCACAACTGTTCAGTTAAATTTGCCTTTGCTTTTTGGCTTTGCTTATACTTCTTTGTTATAACAGATGACTTATTTCTTCCCTGCACTGTATTAGCAAGTATTTCTTTCCCTCTCCTCTACTCAATATCTTTCTGCCCCTGCTGTAGATCAAATACTGGACAACTGGAGTTGAGAGAGGGTTCACCAAGTTAAACCTGGTCTCTTAATACCTCTACCAGGGTTTTAAATAGGGTATTGACGTCTTATGCTGTGGATGTGTCATCCTTCAGCTTGCGGAGAAATAAATGTAAAGCCCTGGTTCTTCTTTCTATGGGAAATACTATTCATAGTAAATCCGTGTCGGGAGCGAGCGGTGGAAAGGTGTCTGGGAGCGAGCGTGGCTGTGTTGGTGCAGCTCTGGGAGCTCCCGGGGGTAGGCGCGTTGCCGCACTCCCAGGGACTCTTCTGCTTTTGTAGCTCTTTCTGGTCATCTTGGCCATGGATTGCTCCGCTGCTGCTTTAGTTTCCCACAGGTTTTCTAACCAGGCACAGAGCAAAACCGACTGAATTCTCCCTTACTGGTTTCACTGCTGCTCGCAGTGTTTGTAACAGCAGCGTTCAGAGCTGGCTTGCTGTTTGGGTTTGCTCTGAGCCGTGATAGAAGCACCGGAGTGATCTTCCT